AATAAAATTTGAACTCCTTTACTAACTATCTTAGTAGCAGATAGAGAAAGCATACGAAAATATGATCAAAATAAACTGTGATAATCCTATTCACATTTCACGCCTGTAATCAAATTTTAATGAGGTTTATGCCAAAAGTAATTGGTAATACATTAGGTATGCAATATTAATCAAAATTAGTTAGATTAACAATATATCGTAAAGATTTTGCGTGACAGAATCAGCAATAAGATTCAGTTAAATTCATTCATCTGTTGATTTCAATCTAAAAATGTTCTTTACTCGATTTTCTGTGATGCTTTTTGGAAAGTCAGCTTCAATCCAACTCTAAGCAGAAATTCTGCAGATTCGTACTTCAAATAAGAAATATATACTTATCCTTGAAATCCACAAATTTTTGTGTACTCAAAAGTGAGTACACTCTAGATTCGGTCAGTGTGTCCGGCCGGTCGTAAAAACGATAACTCTTGAAAGCCTCATACAACTATCGTGAAATTTTGTACACAGAATGATCTCCTCAATATCTCAGTCGAGTTCGAAGATGAGAAGTATCCGTCAAGAAATGGCTGAGTTATCGAAAAAATTGTCACCATTGCACAGACAATCCCTGAGGGGGGGGGATATACAGGGATTTTTTCAAAAAAACCTTTTTCTCAGAATTATTCACAACATATATGTCACAGTTGACATGAGAATTTCAGTTGAGATTGGAATGCGCGGAATAAAATTATTTGAATTTCTTTTTTTTCCCTGCTCATGTTTCATAAAATAAAATATATTTAAAAGGAAAAAAGATTTTACTATTAAATTGAATCGAATGAATGAAAGAAATTATAGGTAAATGATTACCTTGTGTTTTATGTATAATAATAATAATAATAATAATAAAATTTTGTTTTGTTTAAATTCTACAGGTATGAGTCATAATATAGTTAATCTCCTCTGAATTAATCATCAGATAGTATTACAAGGATGTTTAGTACATTTTTATATTTGATTTATAAAAGTTGTATAAATAAAAAAATTTATTTTTCTCAGATAAATTCAATGTCCCCATGTCCCCATGTCCCCATAGTTTGAAAAATGTACAGAGAGTTGAATTTATATGAAAATCTTGTAAAAAGATGGAAGGAGTAATTATCAATACAAAATTTTCTAAAGGCAGATCTCAACAAAAGTTCTATTAAAAAAATTAAGAAAAAGCTATTCCAAACTCAACTAAATTCCAAACTCGCCTGCCACATATATAAATCGATTCAGTTTTTGAAGTACACATAACAATGAGATGCAAATCCGATGTTTCCGCAATTTCTGAATTAGAAAAAGGAAGCATCGAATAGTTCTTATTCGCCGGATCCGGTTGTTGGAACGGCGCAATCCGGACTTCATACCTGGATTAAAAACGGCCAGATCTTGGCTACGTATCTAGATCGGAAAGTATTCATATTCCTTCGTTTCCGATCGTCAAAACGAAACGATCGGAAACGTAGTACGGAATCCTGTTGTAGACGGAAACCGTATCCGCTTATCGATTCCGGAGCTAGGAGTTAGCGGGAAATACCCTGGAAACGGAGACGGGAAAATGTTTTGGAATACTGCTTCCGGAATTCTATGGGAGATTACCGGATCAGGCTGTTTTCCACCGTACGTATTTGACCTGGGTAGTTGAACCAAGATAATAAAAAGATTTTGTACAGTCTTTCTTCACTTTTAGATCATTATTCTGATAGAATTTAAATCATCCTTATACAAAAACTTCTTCTCATATTTTGTAGAATTGTACTTGCTCATGTTGCACAAACCGATCGAAAACCACCGGTGAACCACGATTCATTTTTATACAAATCGGTTAGTGCGATATGGGTGGGTCCCTTCTAAATGTGCTATCTCGTGATAATACAGAAGTAGCCGATTTTCAAAGGTGAACAGACAGTCAAAGAATACAGAATAGAGATATTTAAGTTTTCATTACAGAAATAGATCAGCGTTTCTGCTTAACTGTGGTATACTATTATGCAAGACCCCGGGTCGAACAGTACGATCCGTAAACGGTCGTTTACGGTTACTTTACGACTATTTTACGGGCGAAAGTTTGCCGTAATATTTGGCGCAGTAATACGGACCGTATTGTCATGAGAGTACGGAACACAAACAGCCGTAAACCATGAAAATTCAGTACAGTTTACGGTGCCGTATCACTGTGCTAGGTATTACGGGCAAATACAGCCTATTTACTGCCGTAAATATACCGTTTTGACATCGTTTACCATTGATAAACGGACTGTAAACGAGTCCGTTTTTATCAACCTGGGAATTTATTGCTAGATATTTAAAATTCTGAATTTATGTGAGTGAACTTTTACTTGATTTTCAGATAAAAAGCACTCCACCAAGTTGCTCAAATGTGATATCAGTCTTTTTTTTGCTCAGTTGAAAATATGTCGCTACATTTATTTTTATTTTGAATCTAACAATAAAATATTCTCTTTAATGAATAATTGAAATTATAAACACTTTTACTGTAAGATTTCCAACATGAGGAAAAATAAAGGGGCTCTTGAGAATTTTGTTGGGGCTGCTCCAATGAATAGTCGTGATAGAAATGAGAGAAGAAGTTGTAGGAAATTGTATGTTAAAATAGAGTTTCAATAAATGTCACTCGGTAAAAAAAAGGGAAGGAGTAATCACATGTAGAACCAGGTCGTAGTCAGAATTTTATATTAAAACGTCTCTATTTATTTTCCTCTCACCATTTTACTGGAAATATATATAACTCTAACTTAGATAATCTAAGAATGCATTGAAATAGATTCAAGCTGTGTAAATGGATTAAACTTATGACTCTTCTAGGATTCGCGCACGTAAGCTTAGTTATAGATTAAGAAAACGTTTTCAAGGAATATCAATCAGACAGATCAAATGGTGTTGTTTAGGCAAATTGAATCTCATCAGCACTGTTACTATGAAGTAGAGAAACTTGCAAAATTTATCGTCAGTCCTTTATAGGGAGCTAGTTAACTGTTGATGGTGTGGGTGGCTCCATCTATAAGGATGCTTTTCGGACTTGTCCCTAGATTGTATAGACATAGGATGGAGCCGGAAATTTCCCATAAGTTCTATTCTTAAAAAATAATATCAACTCACTAACATCTACTGTTTCTGATACTTTACTTCTTCGCCGCTTAACTATTCAGTTTGAATAAGAAAGTCGACTTTGAAAGTTTATTAATGGTATTTAAAAACGGTAGATGTTGGTGAACTGATATTATTTGTTAAGAATAGAACTTATGGAAAATTTCCGGCTCCATCCTATGCCAATGCAATCTAGGGGCAAGTTCGAAAAGCACCCTTATGGATGGCTTCTTCCTTCGGCTCAACAGTTAACTAGTTCCTTATAATGCACTGATGATGAACTGTGCAAGTTTCTCTACTTTAGAGTAGCGGTGCTGATGAGATTCAATTTGCCGAAACAACACCATCTGATCTGTCTGATTGATATTCCTTGAAAACGTTTTCTTAATCTATAACTAAGCTTACGTGCGTGAGTCCTACAAGAGCTAACTTTCATGAATCACAATTGTGCAAATTGATTATTATACTTTTCTAATCGATTTTTATTGATTATAATCAAAATTATCAATAGGATTATTCTGCAACAAAATCAAAATTTTAATCGATTAGAATCGAAATAGAAATCACCCTCAATCGATTGTCGAGTACGAATAATCGATTGATATTGATTGGAATCTCGATTTCAATCGGTTATAATTTTGATTTTGTTGCAGAAAAATCCGATTGCCAATTTGGATTATGCCCAGAGGATTTCGAAATTATAATCGATTTTAATCCCTAAAATTTTTCACTGGGCATATCGCCATGATAAGTGATCCAACGAGTACGTATTAAGATTGAGTCTGATGAGCTATCACGGCTAGTGAAAAACTACACTAGATCTTAGCTTTGTCTTCCAATTACTTTAAAAATATCGTGTAGGCATCCATTGTTTCCTATGATATATATTTGTGAAATATTCATTCGAGTTAGTTTTTCAAAGCATCCTTCAAATCATAGTCGATCGAAAGTGAGCATTTATCATCCTGAAAAATATCATATAAAAACCTTTTTTTGAAATTTCGCGATGCACAGCATGATTAGAATTTTTCTGTTAATTTATTTTAAATTATAAATTCTTGTAAATTTAAATGTTCCCCTATGTAAATTTAACTTGAATTTAAATTTTTAAATAAAGTAAATTTAACTTAGATTTAAATTTATAAATAAAGTAAATTTGAACTTGTTTTGAATTCAAATTTTTCAGAATTTTTGTTTTGATTTAATAAGTTTTTGTAAATGTACTTTGACCACATAATGTACAGAGCCTGCCACAAAATAATCATGAAAGTAGGTCTCAATTTCTTAAAACTTGATGATAAGCAAGTTGATTTACCCATGAATATCAACAACCCATGTTGAAATTATGTTCAAAATCTAACTACACAAAACTTGCTTAGTTGTTAGTTCGATTGAAACGCTTATTCATGCGTAGACGTGCACATTTTTGTAATAAAGAGACTTCCAAAAAATCTTTTTCGCTATTTCTACATGAGACAGTACTATTCAAATATTTAATTATTTTCTACATTCATAATAGCAATACAACTATGTAATAATGTCAAAACTTTTAATAAAAAGAAATTAAGACTATTTAATGTAGATATTCACAGACATAAATAGTGCTAATATTAATGTATCTGAATAACACAATATTTTTTCCTTTCATTCATTAGACTATTTTTATATTCTACAACATAGAACGAATGTTCTATAAACTATACGATGGTTTGTCGCTTTCATCGGTTAGATTCGTGGCAAACTCACGACTCCTTATATTGGTATCAATTATTGGAATGCTGCTCGTTTACTATCAAATTTCAACTAGTTCTACACAAATTATTTCCACTATCATTAAATCGCCTACGTTGATTTATAAAGTTATAAAAATGAACGACCGTAAACCACCTTACAAACTGGTTACTCTTAATGGTCGAAAACCTTATGCAGATGGCGATAGAGCTCAAGCAGTAGTAGTAGAACATCTTCAACTAGTCAAAACTTGTCAGGAAGATCCATCGCTTATTGTAGTTGATATTGGTGCCTTTGTTGGTAATCTTCATAAAAAATCTAATAAGAATATGAAAGAAAAATAGACAAATATTTAACTTCTTTTTTTTATATAGGAGATTTTGGATTATATGCCGCAGCATGTGGTTGTCAAGTATATCTATTTGAACCTCAACCAAAAATGATCGATCTTATTCAAACATCTATCGTAGTTAACAATTTTTCTTCTTCACGTGTTCATCTGATTAATAAAGCTGTTAGTAATTTACCATCGAATTCTCAACTGACATTTCTTGAAGATGAAAGTGATACAAAACAAACGAATGGATCTTTACACATATCAACGATTCGTCTTGATGATATAGACTGGCCACCGAAATCAAATATATTTCTATTAAAAATTGATGTTGAAGGATTTGAATTAAATGTTCTTCGTTCAGCTGAAAAATTATTTCAGAACAAACGTATTCAACATCTGATCTTTGAATATACGGCTTATTGGACTGACCGATCAACACAGAAAGATCTTTTACCATTTGTGCAAAATCAACTTGATAGTAAGAAGCTGTATGCATTAGATCGAACAGGACGAACTGTTTATGGTCCACTAGATCGAACAGTGCTCAATGATTTTCATGAAAATCACATAAAGAGACATTTACAAACAGATATCTATGCAACTTTTGTCGATTTAGATATAAATACTACTATAAAGTCAAAACCCTACGATCCATTATCGTCGTTTGCATGAAATATTTTACATTATCTATTGTTTTTCTATACGAACTAGTCGATGCATAGTATAGAGTTTATGTGTTCAGAAATTTCTTCAGGATTCATCTGGTCTTTGCAAGTCTTCTTCTAATATGAAGTTATTTCATTACTATCAATGTATGATGTAATTAATATTTTAGCTATATGTTTTCTAATGATTTATTGACTCCATTAAGTTAAGAAATTCAATTGTAAATTTGACTTCAACAAAAAGGAAAAATGTTCGAACATAATTTAGATGATACCACGGAAATTGGAGTCAACGCGAACAGAATTATTCAACTAGATTTAAAATAATAAGAGCATATATCAACTTGAATATTATGAATGACTCGAATAATTTTACTTTTATAGTAACATTTAAGAAGGATTTGATATTGGCTATATGTGAAAATATAATTACTTTTAAAAAGTAATAAAGTCAAAATGACTTGTTTCTTCATGATTTCTTTTATTTTCAAATAGTAGAAAAGTAATGTTTCATGTGAAGCTTCTTGAACGGTTCACTTGTTTCTTGATTTACAAAAATGCACGAGTTCATTTACATATCGTTGTTCATCTTCTAGACTAAATACATCAAATACAATGAGGGATAATTTTGTATTCGACTTTTGTCGTTGAAACCAGTTGATTACTGTTTCAATTGCTATACGGCATGCATGATCAGCAGGAAAAGCAAATAATCCGGTTGAAATACAACAAAATGCTATTGATGTTATTGTACCTATTTCATTTGCTAGATTTAAACATACTTCATAGCAAGAAGATAATTCTCGAACATTATCTTGTGTTACATAAGCTCCATGAAATAACTGAGGACCAACAGTATGTAAAACATATTTCGAAGGAAGATTATAGCCGGCAGTAATTTTTGCGTGACCTACAGGTTCTGATTGTTGTTGTTTTTCCATAATTGTATAACAATCATCTCGTAAACGAGGACCAGCAGCTGCATGAATGATATTATCAATGCATAGGTGTGTGGGTTGAAAACATCCAAGAAGATTGCTATTGCCTGCATTGACAATCGCATCAATGATTAGAGTCGTAATATCGCCTCGCCATACACGAATAAAAGGTAATGATGTAAATTGTACAGGTAATTGACTAGCTTGAGTAAGACTCTTCATATGATCTCTTTCATATGTGAGCACTCGATCAATTAAATTGTAAATATGAGATGAATAACGATCGCTTGGTCTGGGATCGCGAATAGTCAGTAGACGACGAATAAAAGCTCGTTGTTCTTCTATTGACCGTTGAGAAACAGAATCATTAGGTCCATTTAAATATTCAACAATTTGACGAATTATTGCAGCATAATTCAGATTTTTATCCGTAAACTTAAATGATATTGGTTGAAGATTGATTAAGTTATGATAATCTTTCAATGTCAATACTTGAGACATAACTAAACTTTAACCTACAAAATTTTATATTATTAATTTTTATTAAAGGTGATTTTTTTTTGTTTCATTTGAGAACGTATTCCATAAACTTACTGCGTAAAAATAAACTCGCAATAATAAGAAGTAGTTCGTTTCGTCTACATTTATTTTTTTTCTTTTCTGTTTATCAATGACGAAGCAGTTTTTTTGATACATAAAAGAAAAAAAATCGCTGAGTCATTCGATGTACTATGTGCAAGCTGAGAATGACTTTTTTGACGAGAGTTTTTTCTTACGTTCTGTCTCTCGTGAAAATAACATTAGGTTTTGATGCTGAGAAAATTTTAGTCTTACTGTTATATACATATGTATGAATATAGATGTCTGAAAGTTTACTTTTTATCTTACTTAATTAGCCAACTGTACTTCTCATCTTAATTTTTATTTAATATGAAATCATATTAAAGTGAAGCACTTATAATGTCGTGATAATCGAGTTTATCATCAAGATATTATTTCTTAAACGTAAAAATACAGTAGTTATAGAAATGCCGAAAGTCTTTCAGCGAGAATTGTAAGTCTATCGTTTGCAATAGTTTTTTTTCTGAACAAATAAGAATTAGTAAAGGTTTATAAAATTTCCATGGTAGAGATTACATTTTAAGAGCAATGGTCGTTCACTTTTGATCGCTTTGTTTTCTCTCATGATTTTTATTTCTATCAATCAAAATTTGTTGAAACAAAAAAAGTCTTTCTGTGAGACATGAATACACGTATATAGTCAAAAAAAGAATGTCACCAATAAACTTTATGATAATTTTTTTTAAAAGATGGTAAAATAGCATTAATTATAGATTGAAAACTTTACGAGTATTTTTATGCCATTGTAATATTTGAGTTAATCATTATAAACATTTGTTGAAATATGTTTTTTTTCAATCTAGGTAATGGAATGAACCAATTATGGAAGTTGACTCGTTTAGAAAATGTATTGATTAGTAATTATATTTTAGATTATTTCTGATCAATAGAAAATATTTCAAAGAGTTTCAGATCTCTAATTTTGAAAACCGTATGGATTTCCTTGCATTGAAATATTGAAGAAATTAAAAAATAAAACTATTCTTCTACTATTTCAAATGTTAGGATTCACATTAGTCGCAGAATAAAGACTGTATACAATATAAACTGCATTCAATTATATTGATGAATAATTAGTAGACTCTTTTCTGTGGATACTTATCAGCGTTCGCCTTCTTTCATATTGTACTAATTACTTTTAAATTCTTCACAGAACAGTTAGACTATCTCTACAATTGTTAGTGTTAAAAGTTTTTTTATTTCGGATCATTATACATGCATTAGTAACTTTTCTTATTTACATGTAACTTTAAATAATCATAATAAAATATTATTGTGACACTTTTCTCAACGAGTCTCTTTTTCAAAAATTATTTCTCAATATTCGAATGGCCCAGGTAATAAAAGAAGAGTTTCGATTTTATTTTCTTAAACTCTTCTTGTCAATATGATTCGTATTATTCTTTAGTGAAGTATTTCTTTGAATAATCCGACGGTACACTAATTCCTTTTTTCGTTTTCGTTGAATAGAAAAATCGATTTTGAACTCAACATTGCACATATACGGTTTAAGCACTCATCAATAGATGAAACTAATATATAGTGTAGTATACAATATTGAATAAGTCACTATATCACTATTTCAAAAAACGTGCACTTTCAATATGAATAGTATATATAGTAGTAGAAGATATCGCGCATTTTCAATGCATGGCCTCTACATTTTTCGCATAATGTTTTTTGATAACTGTTTTTGTTCTAAAAAATAAATCATCGATCTCACATAGGCTCATTTAGATACAGACGACAACAATTCAGATGGAAAGTANTTCATTCGGAGTATTATTTTGATTTCAACTGACCAACATCAATAGTTATGGAAAAAAGCAACATCGACATTGGAACTTTCATAGTCACATTGTTGCACCGAGAGTAATTTTATGAGTCATTCATACTTCAATCAAACAATTGTTACGAATAATATTATTTTACCAGATAACCTTATCGTGTCACTCGTCATTTTCATAGCAATTGTTACAAGACCACACTTTTATCATAGTTGTTTGTGATATTTTGTTTTGTTTTTCTTTTATTTTTCATTATTGTTAGAATCTAATTCCAGGCATTATGGCCGATAATTATCTTCATCAATCAACTGACGCAATAACATATTTAACAGTCTATATGTATCGATCAAATATGGATTCGATCCCGAATTATCCCCTACCAACTGGTTATTCTTTACAACTATATAAAGACGATGTCAATGACAAGCAACAATGGGCTGATATAACCATGGCTGCAGGAGAATTCAGATCACTCGAGGAAGGTCTCCACAAGTTTGAAGAATACTTTTCAAAGACAAAAGATAAAATACCACTGACTCAACGAGTCCATTTTCTAGTAAATAGCGATGGAAAATATATAGGAACAGCGACTGCCGGAATCGATGAGGCTCACGTAGAAGACTATGGAAGTCTTGATTGGATATCAATACTACCAGAGTATCAAGGAAAAAAACTCGCAAAACCTATGGTTTGTGCAGTACTTCACAAAGTAGCTAAGTATTCCAACAAGTGCTATCTATCTTCGCAAACAACAAGCTGGAGAGCAATAAATATGTACGCCGATTTAGGATTTCTACCTTTTATTAAAACGGATGGTTGTAAAAAGGCTTGGCAACTACTTAACAAATTATGCCGACGAAAGTTCATTGATGAAACTGAGTAAATAACTTTTAAATATACGTTTGATAATATAGTCATCGGCAGAGACTATCGATTTTTTATGCTATGCAGAAATAATTCTTACTGACCGCATTTTATTGTTTTTTTTTCGAATGCTGTCATTTTTTATGGCAACCATTAGATACATTGATTATCGTCGATTTGCACATAACAATAAAAGTCTCTCTATAAACGACAATCATCTTAAGAGCTTTCTATTTCGAGGCTTCGCAAAAATTTGTTCGATGAAATGATTTTAAAAATTCCACACAATCAAATCTCAAGAAGTACAGAAACAAAGTTGTTGTTAACTTAAAACTGTCGAAAGTTGCCGTCATGAGATATACTAGATACAATGACTGAACAAGAAAGGATGCTATCATGAGGCTTCGACCCTAAAATTGATTCATTTTGTGTGGAAATCATATCTACGGAGTATACTGGTGATTCTGAACTAACTGAAACGGACCCCAACATCTACCATCACTGTTTATTTGTGGTGAAGTCGCGAACATTTATAATAATGGGAAAATCTCATTCTAATCGAACAAATTGATCTTCATTGTTGATTCTTCATTCGAATTGCAGTAATCAGCAAATTTAAATATTCAACGGTATCGAATATCCTAATTAGTTTCTAATACTGAAAGACACAGCTAAACTAATATGCTTCACTTACAATCATAGTTCGTAAATTTAAAAAATAAAAGAATTTCTATATTTGAATATCTTTTGTTATCAAAATCTTCGTAGATGTATATTTTACGGTTAAATGTGACATCTATCAATTATGCTTTTTATTAGTGTAGATAATTGAGTTTTAGCGAGTTGTTTTTCTTCTGAATCAGTTTTTCTCAGATTGAGTATAATCTTTGAGTAAAACATAAATCATGTCTTTAACGTCGCTAGAGAGGCTATTTTTGATAGGTCATCAATTTCTGGATGCACACCGCACAACTATTTTGATTGCTACAAGCACTGGTATTTTTCGAAATATCACCCGAGTCTAATCATATGCTGATTATTTTGTCTTTGTGAGGCAGTGTTGACAGCATGGATTTACAATAAATTTTGGGTCAATCGTCAAAAATATAGAGCTATTCAATCGATTAAAGGCAAGACAGTATTAATCACAGGTGGAAATACTGGCATTGGCTACGAAACTGCTATGGAACTTCTTCAACGAGGTTCGTCAATTTAGTCGCTCATTGTTGCCATGTAAATGAATCGATATTTAGGTGCTCGAGTTGTTCTTGCTTGTCGAAATGTCAATAAAGGATATGATGCTATGAATAAGCTTGTTGCTAAAACTGGTTCTAATCAAGAGAGTATTCGAGTAATGGAATGTGATTTATGCTCATTGGATTCAGTCCGAGCTTTTGCTAAAATGTACAACGAAGAAGAAAATAGGCTTGATATTTTGATTTGTAATGCGGGTCTCGGTTGGTCACCATCTGTTCTTACTAAAGATGGTTTCAACGCAGTGATGCAAGCAAATTATCTTGGACATTTTCTACTCACAAACCTTCTAATAGATAAATTGAAAAAATGTCGACCAAGTCGAATTATCAATGTTTCATCCGAATTGCATAAAGGTAACTGATGGAGAAATAAATCAACGATGAGTTTTTCAGTTAAATTTTAGCTGTGAAATCGATTGATTGGTCCGATGCACTTACACAAATTCATACTAGTCGATGGATGGGTGCCTATCCACTATCAAAATTATTTCAAATTCTCTCGACACTCAAATTAAAAGGAGATTTACCGAATAGTATGATAGTTTACTCTTTAAAATTCATTTTAATTATTTTTCACTCCAGCTGAAGGCATCAATATATTTGCATTGACACCTGGCTGGGTTTCAACATCCATTCAAGATCCAGTGGAATATGGTCTTGGTATATTTGGCCTTATTTTTTACTATCCATTACTCTATTGCTTGAAATTTGCATTTGCAAAGACAGCGAAGACTGGTGCACAAACCGTTATTTACTGTGCTGTTGAATCAAAACTAGAACAATCACAAGACTTATACTTTGAGTAAGTTAATGACTCATAGGAAATTATTTGATTCAGATTTTTGTTCCTATTTTTTCAGAAACTGTGCTGCTGCAAAAGTATCATCATTAGCTATTGACGAAGTCTCAATTGATCGTTTATGGAAAGTGAGTTGCGAAGCAGTTGGACTTTAATTTTATCTATTGACATAATACTTAAGTACAAGCTTCGCAGCAGTACTACTTTCCTGATTTTTTTTAATGTCCTGATATTTTATGATTTTTTTACGAATAGGGCCTAGATATACGTGGTTTTTAATTTTTTTTCTTATTTTTCTTATTATTTTAAGGAGATACGTGCCTTTGATAAGCTTCACGAAAAAGAAAAATAGTGTTCAATTTTATTTTTATTTAAATCGTGAATAATTTTTTTCTGTTTTTTACGTCCAAGGTATTATCCTCCATCGGTATAACTAATATCATCTGTTTTACATCCTGTAAACCGGAACAATCTTCTTGTTTGACCTCTTGAAGCCCATTGGGAATGTTCTTTGTCGGTGTTATTGGATTTAAGCAAGCATTTTGAACTAAAGCTGTTGTTTCTCAGCATTCAAAAGTGTTTTAATAGAAGAGACACAAAGTAAAGAAACAAAACTCCACAATACACTAACATCATATATAGGTAGATACGCATTATATGCACGGAGACAGAATACCAACTAGGATAAATCATATGAAAGAGAAACCATTCAGACATCTCGTTATGAACTTGAGGAACTGGAGATGGGCAGTCCGTGATTAGCTAACGACTCGACTAAATGGGAATAGGCTAATCCTGACTGTTGATTATCTCAGGTGAGAGGAAGTAATAATTAGAAAAGACTGACCGTGTTGTACTTGAATAGACCCGAATAGGAATGCGCCGCTACAGTCGAACTGAATATCCAAGTCACGCAGTCGCGACTGCGACTAGTGCATCCCAAGTCCCGAGAACAAAACCAACAGAATTAGAAACAGGCATTCGACGAAAAATCATTTCTTTAATCTTTTAATTTTCTCTTCATCATTGATGAAGCTCATTGAAGCAATACATTTGGTTATTATCATAGATTACCAATACTTTATTCACTTTTTGAAGATTTAATCTCTTGCTTAACTATTCAAAAAGTCTGAAAATGTCCTGATATTTTTCAATTTCTGTCTTGCCTAAATTTCTGATTTTGAAACACAGGCTGCTGCAACCCCTGTAAGTATTTTCGTTGTATTCATTATCCAAAACGATACGTTCCTCATTCGAGGTCTTTTTCTAATCTACAGTGGCCAGTTAGCCTCTTAGGAAAACAGAGGAAAGAAGGAAAAAAATCACCTAATAAACGAATTAGAAAAGAAGAAGGAAGTCGTAATTCTTTTTGTAGCTGTGCTGTAGAATATATTGGCAGAGTTCCAATATCGATTTCAAATTAGTTGTTCATCAAATTCACAGTGGAAGCAATTGGTTTAAATCTATTAAAAAATGAAATTTAAGCTACTAGAGTTATCAAAAATTCATCCTTTCCTTTTGATCAATGCTCATTATAGATGCTCAGGTTATTCAAAAGTAGTCTATAATCTTAAGAAAGTGTTTGATGAAAACATTCCCGCTTTCTTTTTCTATTCGTCAACAAGTCCCCAATTGAATCTCGGCTATTAGGTAGCTCATATGCTTACAGCCAGATTTGCCTATAGCGTATTTTGGTAATAAATAAGAAAATAAATAGTCAAAGGTCTGAAAGGTTCTCTATAGTGGAGGTATGAGGAACGAGCCATAGCTATATTTCTCTCTGAAAGAAAAAACAAAAAGAATACATTGTAAACATGCTGCTTATTGATTCGTAATGAAATTTCATAAAAATTCATCTTAGCTATATTTCGTTCAATATATATTTTAAGTTACTGGTTTGAGTATTCATACAATAATTAATAAGCCTTATCAGTTGTTCTAAAAGATTCCTGGCGAAAAGTAAAGGCTGATTTGTTATTCAACGAATTGAAAACAGTTACTTTATCCATAATTATAGTACAACGCCTCTTTGACGACTTTTTTCGACTATCAATCATGAATTTGATTGTTATTTTCACTCAATATTTAGACAGTACATTTTCGTATCATTGTCATTGATGATTTTATATAAGTATGTGTACTTGTTTCAAGCTTCTCTAAATTTTTCAATGTTTTATGAACACATGTAAATGCAATAACAGCGGAGAGACTCAAGTCAAGACTTCCTAGCAAATAGGAAAAGGCATCTCAATATTGCATAGAAATTATGAGCTTCATATAAAAAATAACGGGAACTACTTTAGGCATCTTCTATAGCCAGATTAAATTGCAGAAATTTGGTATCACTTGATCTACTGAAAATGACTGAAGGCTGGTTAAAATATAAAAAAGCATTTGTAGTATTTGACTCAAAAAAAGATCATCAAAAATCTTTAATATAAATATAGGACTTTCGCAGATTAGTAGTCTTAGTCAATGCCTATTTATTGTGTTCCACTGTAATACAATAAATTGTCTGGGTGTTCGTTCAGACCACTTCTTCGCAGATGATTTTGATATGTTTATTAGACTACTTATCATGAAAAATGTAGCTCCAATGTTTCAATATCTAGAGAAACACGGTACATGAATCTGTAATCAGTGGAATGCATATACGAAAAAAATGAAAACAATTGATAAGTGCATCGAAAACAGTGGTACCGTTTTCGATATAATCAAGTAAACAGATCTCAGTCACAGTGACAATGAATGATTAAACAATCAAATTGGTTAAAAAATTTAAGTATTTCGGATTAATGTATGCTGTCAGACTATCCTTGCAACTCTCAGTTAAAAAGTCTATCGGAAATATTCAGATATTCCTCGGAAAATTGACTTAGTTAAAATCTGGACGAAACATGTCGTTCAAGATGTTCCCGTCTGTTTCTTTGCATATGCTTTCCCACTTTTTGTTGTATTGTTCCCATTTTTCGCCTACTCCCAGAAACTCAGTAATATATATTGCAACAAAAATGCTTTGTTGGTTTTTGGCTGCTATACTGCTATTCTTTTGTCTCTGTGCATCTGCTTGATACTATCACTTTGAATGATCCTTAGAGTTTTGTGCCCAAAAAACATTAAGAATCGTGCATATAAATGCTCTTGGATTCTCACTTATCTTTAATGACATTGGTGACACATTGTTTCACAATTTTCATTTATGATATTGATTTTGACTGAAATATTTTTATCTCTTTTACTATCACGATGTAAGAGCTTCTGAGTATTACATCTACTAACATAATAGAAAAGAGTCTTTTATAAACAAATAAATGGAATGGACGTTTTTGTATTGATCACTTCTTCAAATTGTTATCATTTCTTGACTGATCCAAACTTATCACAAAGTGATACGCTATAACTTCGTTTAAGAATCTGAATTGTCTGTATATTCATAAGTATAAGTAAATGTACTGCACATGCCATCCTACTTGCTGTAGTTGTTACTAACGTTGATGTTGTTGTTGTTGTAATTATATCTTTATGAGAAAACAAAAACAAATATATAACAATCTATCAGAATTCATTTTTTGAACGTCCTATTCTTTTATAGTTACACGTTGAGTCTATGTTTTCAATGTTTCTTTGATACCAATACATGCTTTTTATGTTTTTCCGGCTAACAAAAAAAATTATAGAAAAATATTCACTATGTTCTGATTTTTGCTAATGATCTTAAGATGAGATTATGAGCACGTAGTTTTTATGTTCATGATCAGACATAATATCACATCGATAGCTTTTACTTTCTTCATAATACGTATGCAATGAACCGTCAAATCAATTATTCGTTTGTTTTTAATTCAAATTATTGAATGAACTTTATTCTGTGAACAGTTCTCACTGATAATCAAGGATCAAACGTGTACATAGATGTATTACAGTTGGTGCGAAATCTCTTGATTCTGTAATATTTCTTTTTTTATGTAGATAATTTAACAAGCAAATATTTTTTCATGGAATTCTTTTTACGACAAATCTGCAATAGTTGTCATACAATAAGATAATTTCTTGGTATAAAAACAAAAACGAGACTTTTTGTTACTACAAACGATATAATCAAACAAATCAGAATAAGCATAAAAATGAATGTCATCATCGCTCTCGACTGTTTATGGCAGCATATCAGCATTAAGACACATATGCAGTTAACTTTTATCTTTTTCCATTATTATATGGTTGTTGTTGTTGTTTAATACCACGCGTTCGTGCATCAAATTTTTGATCTTGCTGTTCTTGATCGGAAAATATATTTGTATAACCTTGCTGATTTGATACTCTAATTGAGCGTATGAGCAAGTCAATCATATCATTCGGCGATTTAATTACTGTGTCCATTTTGATAGCTTTAACAAAGTCACTGTATACATTCATGGCTTTAATAGCTTTTAATCGTTCTTGAAAATTTTCGACAATAGTATCAGGTGGATATCCATATGATCGATCTAAATGTCTAAACAAAAACTACATATAACAATGTTCGAACTTTATGAATGTTAACGAACTGTTTTACGTCCGAATGTATAAATGTTGCAGCCATCTCTAAATTAAATACTAATAAATGATTTGACACTTTAACAGATTGAAATATAAGAGGCAAATGTTGAATTTGCATATTAAGTAAATTTGGAATTGCATTATTTCGTTGAATCCAATAGATTTGTCGAGCAAAATATTCTTCGTAAATATATTCTTTTATAGTGTCAAACCGGTAGTTTTTTGATAATGCAATTTTAATTAAAAATTCACCAATATCAGGTATATATTTTTTATTACGATTCTCCAAATCTTCTATAAATTTTTCAATAGTATTATTAATTTCTTGATCTAAATTAAAAATCAGACGAAGCAAATTATAAAAAGAAAGTTCTTAATACAATCCGGGCAAGATTAGAATTATGAAACTATAAAATAGCTACTGCTATTCATTAAATAGCGAGACTTATATTCAGTGTATTTTGAAACAATCTTATTCATTTGTCTTGAGTTAACATTCAAGAGATACAATAAACAGCTCGTTACTATGTTATAGCGTGACGAGATTAATGTATTGTCTATGGAGAGAGGTTTTGGTTGAATCTGAGCTTCTACTTCTATATCTTAAAACTGTCTCTCAGTGATGTTTCACAAAAACAAATAGCATAACATTTACCTAATTCAGGATATATATCAATAAAATGCATCAATAAACGTAAAAAATGGCAAAATGCTTCAATAGCATGTTTGGATTCGTACATTTGTCCATTGAATAACTGCACACTTGATTTGTTCATTAATGTTGTTAAAACACTTAAAGCCATCGTCGGTCGAAAATCATATTGAGCGCTACCTAAAGCAGTGCCAGTATGAATGATACTAATACTATTTTGAATAAATATTTGGCATTGTTCAAAATGTTCTTTATTGATATATATTGGTAACCAATGGTTATAGTCTTTTCCAGTCACTGAGCGAAATCTCAAATTTTCATAATAATCTAATTTATTTCCACCGGATTTTTGTATTTGAGCAACATATGCATCATATGAAATAAGTTCTAAAATAATATCTGACCATAATCGACCATATCTATCACGTTTTATTAATAATGGATAACCCAAACAAATTTTATCCTCTAGAACATTTTGTTTCGTTACACCACAAGTCAATTTTTCTTTTAATTGACGTTTCAATATTAAGTCTTCTGTTTCAGATTTATCGATTTCTGAAGCATTGTTTACAGTATAATCAACAATTCGTGGATTTGGTTGTTCGTATGTATGACCACAGATTGAGCATTTAAATTGTTTTACCATAGTATGTAAACGGTCAATATTCTCTAAAGATGGCGTATTTCTTAAATCAGGCTCAGCAAAAAACGTAACAATTTGAAGAAGAGCCGTAGATAGTGTATAACCTGGGCTTTAAAAATAAAAATAATTATTAAGGTGAAATCGAAAATTTTTAATATACCTCCATCCACTAGCTTGTTGTGCTGTGCCTGAATCGATGTGTCGAAAATATGAAGCATAGTTTGTTAATAAATCATTGCACAAAGCATGTCCATGTCTAAATAGAAAAAAAAACTACGATTCCTATTAATTAATACAACGAAGAACTTTGTACGTTCGATCATCATGAATATGACCATGATAAGTTGAATTAAAGTCTAAACCTGGCGCTATATTTCCAGCAGGACCTGTTAATGGATAATCTTCGGGAATATGAAGAATTAAATGAATTATAACGCCACGATAAGGACCATCGTTAATCAATACCTTGCAAAAATTAAGAAAAAAAAACTTGAAATTACTAAATATGGATGAAAAAGAAGAACTGGTTGAATTCGTACATTACAATGTAAAAGAAATGGATTCGATTCATCTGGACACGTAACACCAAGCCCAGGTACAGGAACCTTTTCATGATCTCTTAAATCTCTAAAAATTACCATAGTTAATATATTTTTACTTTTGTTTGAGTTACCTCATAATACGTTTCGTTGCAGCAAGCTTTGTATTTTGCGGTTTGAACGGTGTATTCATTGTCGATATAAAGCAAATTAGCTAACACCTATTTGAGCTATTCTAAATAGTAAAAGAATAAATTTTAAATAATCCCACATCATGCTGGACTTTAAACAAGGATACAATCATCTATTTGAGAATATCACACTACTAACATGTTATTCAACTGTCAACAACTATATCATTTATATTCATTGATACACTCCTATGTGGTTAGATATTTTTCTATCTATTTTAAAGGATAAAATAATCAGTACAACATCATATATGGCAAAATTAAATAGCCAAGAATGAGCATATAACTAATGAAGATATTTTTATGGTTTTGGCGCTGCACTTCTTAGTAACTGTAACGATACACCGAAGATACATAAATAGCTAAATTATCGTCATGTTCATATATTTCATATTTCTAGAGTGTAACTACTTCATAGATAATGTATGCATGTGTATCTCAGAGGGAAAGACAATCAAGATAGATAAAGGAAGTAAAACAATAGTAATAAGACAGAGAGGAAATGATGACCAATAGGAGCTAATGCCTATATTAACATGATTTATTTATTCGAATATGATTGTAGTTCCATTAAAATTAGATTTGATAACAATAGGGAAAAAATGATTTTTCATATAGTCAATGAATGTTCCGCCATTAGTGACCAGCGGAGTCGTATTTTTCGATTCCGATTCCAACTCCAGAAAACTTCGAAATTTTTTCTTAACTTGGCGACACTTGATTAATATCAAATGTTCGGTATCCTAAAAGGATAAATAAATAAGCGAATTAGGAGAAAATGAACAACGTATATTGTATTAGGATTTCTTTATTTCTTTGGTTTTTGTTCCAAATCAATTAATATTACGAGTAAGAAAGTTTCGACAAGAAATGAACTTGAAAAATTAATTAAAGATAATGCTACATCAATAAAATTTGTCGAGAAGAAGAAAACATCAAAATCAAGCAAACAATGGTGTTTTTTTAATGTTATTTTGTCAATTTTTGCTAGAGATGTGCCCATGTGGGAGGGGCGGAGGCAGAAGGATCCTGATCCTCAGCTTTGAAACGTAGCGACTTTCAATAGAAAAATTCCTGTAGAGGTTTCGTTTTAAAATCTGAATGTTACAAGTTTGTCCTGATAGGGGGGCCCAGGGATCGATAATATCACTACCACAGCTTCCCCTTCGACATATCCCTAATTTTTGTACTAGTATAACTCAGAGATTAACTCTTAAAAATAATTTCTTGCGATCGGTACTAGTACAAATTCGTTAGAACCTGAATTGAAAATCGGAGTTTCGTTCAGTTTTTATTCGGACTCCGATGCAGTACACTATCCACCATGGGCTAATTCACATTTAGCAACCTTGAAACGAAGAAACCTTCAGATTCAATCTTCTCGAGTCTATGGGGTTTTAGTCAAGTAGATTTCAAGAAGTTCTCGCCTATATTAACAATTTTGTACGAAAATATTAACCGATGATAGTCTGAAAAAATTGTATAACATTCAGCCCAGGGACGGCGCAAACGGGGGGTTGGGAGGGTTCGGTTCTCCAACTTTGGAAATTTTTGTTTCAATTTTACTCCGATTTGAAGAAAATAGAAGAGATATTTATTGATTTCCTCCGATTTTTGAAAAAAACCTTCCGTTTTCAAGTAACCCCCCTACACTTTTATTACTTCGCGCCGTCCCTGATTCAGCCCCTGCAATCTGTGCGAAATATAAAATAAAAATAGAATATAACCTATTTGGTTAATGATAGGGACATAAAAGTAGTCCACACTAGAAGTGTAAAACGGAAATAGTTCATGCATCGTAAACAAAACGTTACACAAATAAGGTTTTTAATCAGAAAATCAACAAGGCTGAAGAAAAATGTCTTTGCTATCTTAGTGTTACCTAGACAAACATCTTGTAAGGATGATCTTGGCCAAGATACAAGGTACATATATGTTAACAGATCTTGGAAATTTGGTACAAGATAACTGGATTATCTTGTGCCCAAGATCTGATTACAGATCTTACGTAAGAATCCATAAGATCTTGGTTGCACATTAAGATAAAACCTGTTATATGTGTTATGATTTGCGACACATTTTTTACGCATTCCGAGAGCATGGTTCGAATCTATCATACAGCGAAGTTTTTACTCTTTTCTTTAAAAGCATGTTTTGATATTTTTTCAATTTATTTTAATTTTAATTATTCCTGTCTCGAATAACTCAAGCAAGTCAGATGTTGGGATCGGACTGACTTTAAGTTGGTCTGATATTCGTCAGACCAATTTAGGGTAGTCATCTCTCGATCATCAATCGAGATCAGCATTCTCTCGAATAATCAATAATCGAAAAATAGTTTAGGAAAAAACTTTGAAAAATGATGTGTCGCATGGTCAATCATGTTGCTTATACTCATCTATGTATGCATAAAAAGACGACCAATGACTAGATAGCCTATGTAAATACACTACTAATAATGTAGCTTTCTGTTTCGCTCAAGATCTTAGGTACAGATTTATCTGATACAGTCAAGATATGTACATACAAATTATCTTTCCACGATCTTGGTAAGATCTTGCTTACAAGATATTCGACTAGTAGTAGACGAATCTATTGAAGTAAAATTGTATGATCAGTACATACGGAGTCAATATGTTGATTTAGTTGTGTATTTTTTTAAGTAGAAAAAACAACAGCTGTAACTAACAAGCCAGTATTTTTTAAAATTTTTCTCTCACTCTATTGTTTTTTCGGTGTAGCATAATAAGCACGTCTTTTCATCACCTTGCTCGCACATGGCTTCGAGAAACCAAAATAATGATAAAATAAGTGTATCATTCATCGTATGAATGAGTAATTCAGGAATGAGTCAGAAGATAAAGCAAGAGTACCTGAAGTGGAAGAGAAACGATGAGGAAAATGGGTCCCTGTTAAGTTTCTTCATAGTGCATGAATGCTAAAAATTTTAAAATAATGTAGTATCCAGGCTTTTCTTTCGAAATTATATTCGTTTTTGTCGAACAATTGTAAACATAAATCTTTTGGTATAAATTAGAGGCTTCATCAGAAAAAATTGTAGGAGGAGCTAAGTCGTTAGACAAACTATCGTAGAGGG